GCTTCCAGCTCACGGCAACCCCCCACACAACAGAACAAAACACCACCCAGTGCTGCACCACTCTCAGAATCATCGCCACATGTGAGCCCCCAGTCGCAGCCACCGTGTCGATCCATCTCGTGAGGGTCTGCCCCTTCTTCACCGACGCTCTACTTTACTGATTAAAAATCCCAACTAGAGCAAAGATGACTAGGAATTGTTGTTATCAGCAGGTTAATCAATGAGATGAGTTCGAAATCTCAGGCAGCCTGCCCTTCGTTTTCCCCAGCTACGTCCAAAAAAACAGTTTTCTCCCTGACATGTGGTACGGACATCTGCAGGTCTCAACAGGAAGGAAACCAAAATAGAAAAAGCTCTCTCTCTACTCACTGAACAGAAAGAATGACTCCAGGAGACGCTTGATACCACTGTCTGGCTGTCACTTCCACCAGTAAAGCAACAGATCTGAACTTTCTTGTCCATCCAGATCTTCCTGAAAACTAAGCCTCAAGCTCTTCAGAAATGCTGGTCGCTGAAACACAGGCTGCAAGTGATAAAAACAACTCCAGCCAATTGGGCAGAAGGGCCTACCTGTCTCCTGCTAGGTAGCACATGAGGGTACCTAAGTGCCTAGGAAAGGCAAGGACTAGTCAAGTTATAAAGAGCTCTTGTGGTGTAAACGGTTAAGCACTCACCTGCTAACCCAAAGGTAAGCAGATCGAATCCACCTCGTGGCTCCATGGGAGAAGAACTTGGTGCTGTGCTCCCGTAAAGATCACAGCCACGAAAACCCAGTGGGGCAGTTGTCTTGTGTCACATGGAGCCAGTATGAGTCTAAGGCTGCTGGAGGTGCCTACCACCATCAGCTAAGTTACACCTTCCTATGCAAAAGCACCATTTCCACCCTCATTCCCTCCACCTGGATGCACTGGCGATGGGAACTTCCTGTAGGGAGGAAACGGGCTTCACTGAAGGGCATATGGAGCAGCACTGCTTCCTGGCAGCCAGGCCTGCAATGACATCACAGGACTGTTTCCCACCTTGGAAAAGGCTAGAGCTGGTGAGGTATGAAGTCATCAGCTAGCCAGCCACTCACATACGACCAGAACATGCCCTGCACATCTGGGATGGAAGACCCCGATCGAAAGGGAGGCCAGAAAGAGTTAGATGTACATGCAACAGGACGTTGATAGACCTTCTAGAAAAGGTCTTACGGTCAGTAAGTTTGAAAACTGGGTAAAGATGAAATTAAACAGATGTTTTAGTAGGGAACTTCTCAGAGCTTTATTGTACTAATGAACATGTAAGCCTCCAAGAAAGGGTTACGGCATACAACATGTTCCAAATGTAATTCAAAACACAGTTCACTTCAGGCAGAAAATGACCTGGACTAAGAAGCCTTGAAGGCACAGTGGTTAGGTGCTCTGCTGATAACCAAAAGGTCAGTGGTTTGAACCCACTTGCTCTTCAGGAGAAAGATGAGGCAGTCTGTTTCCATGAAGATTACAGCCTTGGAAACCTCGTGGGGCAGTTCTACCCTGTGTTTCAGGGTCACTATGAATTGGAATCAATTCAACGGCGACAGGTAGGCTTCCAAGGAATATGCTTTAAGAAACACCACGTATTCTTAATGTAATGACATCCAAAAACATGAATTCTGTTCCACGGAAGGTGTATGTGAGAACTGTAACTCAACAACACACTCATTCAACATCCAACCTGGTCCTGGCCCTCAGGAAGTGACAGTCTGCTGGAGAAGGCAGGCCTAAGCTGTTCTGTGACGTGCACTCACACAGAAGTCGCGGACACCCCAAAACGAGGCCCTCCACCTGGCCTGCGGGAATGAGGACGTCCTCTCCAGAGAAGCCCACGTTTGAGCTGGGTCTGGAATAATGAGGAAGAGCTGAGAGCAACCTAAATGTTGCAGAACATTCCCATCCATTCAAATACGACCTTGCTGTCAGCTTCAGGGCCAACAGATACCAGTTTCATGGCCGGAATTCAACAGCCCTGCCCTAGTTTTGTGTTGTTATTGCTGTTGTCGCATTTAGCCAGCATCTCCAGAATCAAAGTAGAACTCTACCAGGCAGACCAGCTCGCTGTCTTACATTCAACCACTGGAACTGGAAGAGCAATAATCCTACACACAGGCAGAAGGGGTAACCTGCAGCCAACTCCTCAGGCCAGAAGATGGACAACTAGACTCTGAGGTCTCGACCCCAAAAAGGAAAAAGCCAACGTGTCACTGTCGGCACAGGGTCACTGAGCACCGTTTGTCAACTCCACTGAAGGGGAACATTCAAACACACCCCCATGGAATTTGCAGACAACACACGGCACCGAAGGAATCAATTTGGACACAGGGGTGTTTCCAGGTGGCTGAAAATGCAAAGAATTCGGAGCTTCGGCAATTTTCCCCATTATTCGGGTCAGGCATTTGACACTTGAGGTGGCAAAAAATTGTTTTAATGGCAACATCCCCTTCCCCGCCTTGCCAATTACCCTTGCCACGGCATTCCTCTGCTCTGGCCACACAGGCCACAGCTGCTTAATCTCAGCCGTCCCAGGCTGCACCTGTGGATCAGACCAGCCTAATCACACTAACAGATGGCAGAGGCCATGCAGTCAGCTAAGAGCTGCTATCACTTTAAATAGCATCTCGTGTTTCGCAGGCAGCAAACAGAGGCAGTGCCCGACAGCAATGTCTCGCTGGTACAGCTAACACCAGCCTTTAATCACCCGCAGCAGAGCACCCATTTCAGGGCAGGGTCGTGTCATCTGAGAGCTAATTACAAAGAGCCCTGTTTGTAAGGTGAAGGCCTGGCAGCCCCCTGTCGGCCAGCACACATTGGAAGGAGGGTCCTGCCACCTGGCCTCCGTGCACAGGTGCTGTGCTCAGGGCTGGTGGGTCACCTGGAGGTCCCCGGCAGGGAACCCCTTCTGAAGCAGCAGGGGAGATTCTGCTCACTCAGCCCACTTGTTACCTGACCTGTACTCTGCTGCTGTAGTTTATGACTTCATCTGCAAACCTGCAAACAGGAAGGGTGCTTGATTACCAAAGCACCCCAGGACTTCCAATTGGTGCGTTCGGGTTCAAGCCCCTGCTAAGAGCTTCCGCTTCCATCCCAGATAGACTGAATTGCAATCTAACAAGATACACAAGAATCCCTGGGGCTCTTGTTTAAATGTAGGTTCTGATTCAGGGTATCTGGGTGGAGACGCAAATTCTCAGCAGGGGGTGGAACTCTCAACCAGTTCCCAGGCTTGCCAACCAAACTGTGGTGATGAGACCTGGTGTCCCAGTCAAGAGCAAAGACAAAGGGACAAGGCAACGCGAAAGATTAGATAGGAACTTTAGGGATCAGTGTGTTTGGGGTTAGAGAGGAACCCGACTCATAGCAACCCCTCCTTGGGTTTCCGAGGCAGTATGACTACGGAAGTGGATCACCCAACCTTCCTTCTGAGGAGTGGCTGGTGGGTTTGACCCACCAGCTTTCTGGTTAGCAGTCAAGTGCCTTAGGCACTACACCATCTTAAATATATCAAGCTATAAGGCAAAATCAACTCCACAGCAATGGGTTTGGTTATTTTAACCAAAAAAAAAAACCAAACTCACTGCCATCAAGTCAGACCCAACTCATAACAACCCTCTCCTTGGGTTTCCGAGGCTATATCACTACAGAAGTAGATTGTCTAACCTTCCTTCCAAGGAGTGGCTGGTAGCTTTGAACCGCCAGCCTTCTGGCTAGCAGTCAAGTGCCTTAGGCACTAAGCCACCTTAAATCTATCAAGTGGACTAAGATTCTTTTGAGAAAACGTGGACTATCCCACCCCAATGACTGATGTACCGTCTCATTAGGACCAGGCCTGCATGGATGGAGGCTGCAGCTAGTCCTCTTGTCTCTCTTCCTGACCCAGCACTCACAAGGCCATACTCTTCTGAGCACGGCCCAAGTGTTCACTCATCTCATACTCAGCACAACCCAGGAGACAGTAACAGTCCCATTCTACAGGTGACTAAACTGAGGCACAGAGGTTACTTAAATGGCTTGTCTAAAGTCATTTGGGAGCTCTGGTAACATAGTGGCTAAGGCACTTGACTGCTAACCAGACGGCTGGCGGTTCAAACCCACTAGCCACTCCTCGGAAGGAAGGTTGGGCAATCCTGCTTCCGTAGTGACACTGCCTCGGAATCCCAAGCAGGGGTCGCTATGAGTCAGGTCTGACTCGACGGCACATAACAACAACAAACAACAACAAAGTCATTTAGCTCGGAAGGAACAGACCAGAATTTGAACCCCGGCGACCCATTTACTCACCTTGTAAGTGGCCTCTCAAGTGTCAGCATGCAGTGTTAACTGCCTTTAAAAGGTGGACAGCACTCAGCGGCCCCTACTCTGTCGCCATCTACAGAGAAAGGCCATCTGCCCTTATTTCCACTCAGCACATGGTACACGTTTCAGAAGGCCAGCGTTTTCCCACAATGGCACCATTGATATTTCAGACCAGATAATGCTTGGTTGTGGGGGGCTGTGCTGTGCACTGCAAGCACCCCGGGCCTGTGGCCACTAGATGACACCAGCACCCCCTCTTCTCCACTGCAACAAGCAAACATTACCAAATGTTCCCGGGCGTGGGGGGAGTCATCATCCCCAGTTGAGAATCTCTGGGTTAAGCCAAGCACCATCATCAGTTATTAAAGAAACCAAGGCATTACACGATTCTCTGATGTTTATGTCTCCATATTGTGAGAAACCAGAAGGAAAAGGAAAACCCAGGAAAGGAGTGGTAACTGCTTTGAAGGAGAGCAGAAAACTGACACGAGAAGAAAACACAGATAGAGGAAAGGGTAGCCAGGAAACGTTTTATTCTCAGGTATGGATGTCAGAGAGCAGACACAGTGGGGAAGGGAAGGGCACAGGACACAGCATCCAGCTGGGGCGGCGGCGAGAGGACAGGTTAGAGCCGCCCTGCCCAGCGCGTCCTCCTCTCGGGACCTCAGGAGTCCCGCCATTACTTACTCTTGTCGCTGTGCTCGCTGACAACGTCCTCGGAGCCATCTGTGTCATCTTCATCATCTCCAGAAGAGATCGCATCTGCGGTCAGAAGAACATGTTCACGGATGTGCTTTTGCAAAATGCAAGTGGTTGCAATCACCTACCACTGGGACCTTCTACCGCATGGTGAACCCGACAGCTCAGGGCCAGCTTCATGACAGCAAGGTTGAGGCTGTGTTTAGTTAAGACAGTTTTCATGTGGCTTAAACTTTCTCTCCATAATGACAGTTGGCCTGTATCACGATTCCTAATGTTTTATGCCTTCACGTTAGTTAAACTTGCTGTAAAACTTGATCTATTGCAACTGAGTTTTTGGTTCCAAACACTATTCAAGTCCCCAACAAATGATTATGTAATGCCCCAAGTGTCTTTCCAACACAGCCTACCAGCTTCCGGGGGTCCCTTCAAGAAGAGAATTAGTCCCTCACAAAACTCTGCCCCGTGTGGCCTTCCCACCAATTGCTAGTATTCTGAAAGCCACACTTAAAAGTCGGCCACCACTAGGGCATATGCAGCACCCCTCCTTACACAGAAGAAAAACCGAGGAGAGAAACTTGAATTTCAATAAAAAGAAATCAGAAATCCTGCACTCCATTTTCAATTCTATAATCTATATACACCAAGGATGCCAATGATATTGGGGGGGTTACTCTGTGAGATAAGGAAAACTGTTAGCTTGCACACGAGAATTCTGTCACGCTTAATGATCAGTGTCTCGAGTACAGCGGGTCTCATGGAAGCCCTTCAAAAATCGATCAATAACAAGCTATGAAGCTGTGTGCCTGGCATCCAATTAGCAGAGGTCACTATGACTTCACTGGTACAATCAAATTTTTACCCAGAAAACAGCTACAGAGAAAGGAGAGCAGAGGGCCCCAGGCCCACTCACCTGTGACATTGACCATGAAGTACAAGGTCTCACTGTCTACAGTCCTAGCAGCAGTACAAACATAGAGGCCGGAGTCTCTAGACGTGGCGCCTTTTATCTGCAAGTACTCCCCAATAAGCACTGTCCTATTGTTGGGCCCCAAGTGTACCCCATCCTTAGTCCAACTGATCCTGACGGCATCTTTCAACAGGCAGCGCAGCTCTAGCGACTCCCCGGGGGCAGCCATGTACACTTCGGGCTGAGAGATTTGGTATTTGGTTGGTGGCTCTGCAGAAAGGTGGGGAGAGGAAGATGGAGACAGGCGGGAGGAAGGAGGAGAGAACGTCCAACAAAGGTCAGTGAGGCCCGCTTATTCCCAGGAGAGGCTGTTGTCTGTGCAAGTGGCAGGTGGCCATCTCTCCCCCGCACCCCATGAAGCCAGGAAGCAGTCCTCCCTCATGTGGAGGGCAGGCTGAGAGAGCGCCTGAAACATCAACCCGGGGGGGCAGCACCCAGCCAAAGCTACCCCGCCTTCATCTCCACACAAGCACAGCTTTCAAAACAAACCACAACCCAGCCTGGAAAGGACATGCTGTGAGCAAACCTCCAAGTTGATCACCAATGCAAAGCTGCTTGCGCTGTGACCCCCCGAGTTCCACTGCTGCAGCGTTTCTCATGTGCAAGAACATCGCATTTACCATTTTTTTCCATTCAACACGACTGGGTCTCTCTCTCTCACACACACACACACACACACACACACGTGTACACACTCAGACACACATATACTTAACGAGCTATTTACTTGTTCTAGGCCTTGCTCTTGTCACAAAGCCACGCTTCTCAGACTATTTCTCGGCCTCAAGGGAAATGAATACATGCCTACACACTGTGTAGGAGCCCTAGTGGCACAGTGGTTAAGCGCTTGGCAGCTAACCGTAAGGTCGGGGTTCAAACCCATCAGTCACTCTCCAGGAGAAAGACATGGCTTCGGTAAAGATGATGGCCTTGGAAACCCTACTGGGCAGTTCTACTCTGTCCTCTAGGGGTGCTGGGAGTCAGAATCGGCTCAGCCACACTGGGTCTGGCAATGAGGTCTGGTTTGGTTTTGACACACTGTGCTGCCTGAGTCTGGAGTTCGCAGGAGCTCCCTCATCTGAAGAGTGAAGAGCTGGGTGGGTCACACTGTTTTTCTTAAGGTGCTAAAGGCTTGAAGGTTTTAACAACAAACGCAAACCCAACAGGAGTGCTGGCCCCACTGCGCTGCAGCGGGCCCTGAAGGGAAGCAGTGTCCCCATGTTACAGAACTGGATCCGCTCCAACTCCCAGCAGCCCCCGTTACACACACACTGGCGCGCCACCCTTCAGGTCTCTGTCTGCTTTGAGGCCTCTCCTCCCAGTTAAATCCACATCATTCTGGGAGACCCAAATCCAACGGCCCCTCCTTGATGAGACCACCCCATCACCCAGCTCCTGTCCCCTCCTCGCAGCTCCTGGGGACGTGCCACTTATGAGCATGTCTTGTCTTCCGCCAGGGAAGCCTTAGTCTAGTGGCTCTCTGTGCCCCACCTCCAGGACCCACCTTGGCACCCACACAGAAGGTAGACCCTGTGGGAACATGATCACAGTCCCCAAGTCTGCAGGGAATGATGGAGCCTGAGAGGATCAACCCACGGTGACCTCCCTGAACAGAAGTAAGAAGGACCCCTTCTCCTTCGAGGGGAACAGCCCCGGCCCTGGCCACAAGGGCCCACGGGACAGGACGGGCTTTCATCCCTCACAGCGACATGGTGAATGGTACCAGAGTCCCAGGCCCGGCAAACACAAAGCGTCCCCACTGAGGGCCGGCTCCAGCTCTGGGCAGCATCACAAGACAATTGTTTTCTCCAGGCCACACTGAGACAAATCTCCCACAGAGGACTGGAATAAACTCTTCATGCGTCAGGCCCACTGTTGAAAGAACAGGGAGGGCGCAGGCTTCTGGGTTGGGCACCCTCTTCACCAGCAACAGCAACAACAGCCGACGGTTGCAGAAAGCCCACCCGGCACACGGGACGGCAGGGCAGGCTTCTCAGAGAAGACCCTTCCCCAAAGCCAAGGAAGTCCAGACTTTGAAATGCCTTTAACTGAACCAAAGGCATGAACACAAAGAGGAAATCACAACAAGAGGGAAAAAACAGAAGCCAAATTTCACGTGGGCAAACACACCCTCCAAAACAAGGGCAGAAAGCCCTAAGCCGGCTACATGTCAAGTTTGTTTTTCTCATTCAGTAATTGCTTACTGAATGAACACCTACTTTGGGCCAAGCTTTGTTCTAGATGCTGGGAAGGAAGCAAATGGAACAAGACAGAGTCCTGCACTTGTGGAGCCCTCATTATAGTGAAGGGACAGACAGTAAAGAAATCACAGAAAATACAAACTCCGTGAGATGTCTTAGTGCCATGGGGCAGAAAGCAGCGAGACAGTGAGGCACGCGGAGCCAGCTGACAGGCCAGCGCACCTTGTGTAGCAGCTGGCAAGCCGTGGCCCACAGGCCTGATCTAGCCACCGCCTGTCTTTGTAAACAAAGTTTTACTGGAACGCAGCCATGGCTTATTCCTTGACGTATGGTCTGTGACTGCTTTCGCACAGTTGCGACAGAGACCGTATGGCCTGCAAAGCCTAAAATATTTACCGTCTGGTCCTTTACAATAGGAGAAAGATGTGGCGGTCTGTGAAGACTCTCAGCCTTGGAACCCCTACGGGCAGTTCTACTCTTTCCTACTGGGCCAAATGAGTTGGAATCGACTAGATGGCAGTGGCTTTTGGTGTTGGGCCTGGGGGTCCTTCACAGAAAGTCTGCTACCCCCTACGGTAAAGGATGATCAGAGAAGGCCTCGGAAGCGCAGCCATCTGAGCAGAGGCAGGAAGGACAAAGTGAGGATGGAAAGGCACTGCTGGAAATTTAGTTGCAAGGTTCTCAGGCGAGGTCTCCAAAAGACCACTAAGCCATGATGCAGCTGAACCGAGTTACTGATGGAAGCACGTGGAACTCCAGACCCCGAGCAGAAAGGGGAGAGAAAAGCATGTCAAAGAAGGGCCAAAGGAGCAAGGGCAGGAAAAGGAATCCCGGGTGGCCCCAAATTTCTCTCACTTTCAAGGTCTTAGAGTCACAGACTCACCTAACAGCAAAACTTACAGAACCTACTGGCCACCTGGTCCACCCATCCCTTTTACAGCTGGTAAAACCAAAGGTCAGAGGTCACTCAGGTCCCACATCTCCCAATAACTAATTACCGAAACAGCACACACAACGTGGGAATGAATTCCCGTTGGATTCGTCTGGGTCATAAAATAATCAATTATCTCCTATGATCCCATCGCACCATCAGCAAGTCACCAAAACATGTTAACAAATGTGCTTTCCTCTGAGCCAGCATTGCTCATCGCAAGATTACTGAGCAGGCAAGCAGCTGGCCATACACAGCAAGGCTTAAAGGGAGACAGGGACCCACCCAGCCAACCAGCTTCTTGCCTGCTCCACAGATAAGGAGAAGCCATGTCCCTATTTAATGGATGCAGTGGAATGCTCTAAGAATTTTCAAGAAAAGATAAGCAAGGCATTTGCAACCGTGCAGCAGGAAAGTCTCTCCTGGCAGAGGCAACTGTTTCCACTGAAAGGCCTTTCCCTCACCTGCAACAGGCAAATCACGAAGTCCGACTGACACCTAGGCCAACTGAGATGCTGGACCAGTGGCCCCCAAAGACACCACCATCTGTCAGCTGTAGGAGGAGGGACACAGTCCAGTGAGGCCTCAAAGGCAGCACCTCATCTTCTTCAGGGCTGGGCACACAGGAGATGCTGGTTAGTGGGAGCAGCCCCAGCGGAAGAAGAGGAACCCCTGAGTTCCAACCTCACTCCTTTCCTGCTCTGGTCCCTCATCTAATGACAAGCAGGAGAACAGAAATGAGAGGGAGCGATGTGCGCTGGTCCAACGAGTCCGCAGATGGGAACCTGACCTTCCAAGCAGAACACAATGGCAGTCACTGTCACTCTCATTCCAAGGCTGAAGACGTACACCGTGACCTTGGGTACCACTCTTTTCTGAGGATAAACCAGGTGTTGTTGAGTCAATCCCACCTCATGGTGACACCATGCATGCCAGAGCTGAACTGTGCCCCATAGGCTTTTCACTGGATGATTCCTGGAAGGAGATGTCCATGTATTTCTTACAAGGTGCTGCAGGATGGACTTGAACTTCCATCCTTTCGGTCAGCGACTGAGTGTGTTAACTGTTTGCACCACTCAAGCACACATTTTCAGATGATAATCACAGCACATTTAGATTTACATCTCTAGATGCAAAACGATGTTCCTGACGGCTGACATGACTTGATGGGATGCCAAATGGCTTTTCTTTCCGTTACAACAGGTCCAAGCCATCACCCAGGTTTCCAACGAGTTAATAAGCTTCAAGGATAGTACAACGACTCTCCAAAATGTATCAACAAAGTAATAACACTCTTCCATAAAGGGAATCCAGTCTCAGAGCAGTAATTCCTGCCTTGTGAATTCACAATCCATACTCTCTCCTCCTCTCCCCTAAAGGCCCATCCTGGCATCAGCAAAGCCCTTTGATAACTCCAGCAACATCCCTGGGTATCCTAGGAAGTGCTCAAGCCCACTGTAGGGAGAAGGGAGGATGAAAAGAAAGTCTGAGAGAAAGAAGAGGAAGATGAGTCATTGTATCAAATTTTTTAATTTCCTCGGCAACAAGTTGTTACCAATAACCAACACCATCATGTATTACGGGAAATCTCACAATTGTCATCAGCAATTTATTTTTTCAGTTATTTTGCATGAGTCTTATCTTTCTGTTGTGATTTTACGTTCTTTAACTGTTGCATAAACACTTCAACACACTGGGAAAAAAATTACACAAAAGAGAGGAGAGGTTGAAAAGAAACCAGACCAAGCAGAGAAGGAAGTTAGAGAGTAAGAACACAGGTGGAGGGGCACAGAGACGGTGGAATGCCAAACCCATCTCCCCCCATGCCACCCAGCGGCTCCAGGGCCCCAGCCTGCAGGTGCCAGCTCACAAGTACATCAACGACATCACAAGGCCGGGGTGCCAAGAACACAGTGCTTGCCTAAAGTCCAATTGCCTGGCTCAAGGGAGACAACCCTGTCCCTGTCCTCGCTCTGGTGGCTGTTTGCTTAGGGACTTTGGTTTCTCTCTTGTGTGTGAACACTCCAGGTGACCTCACTGCCCACCCCCTGCAAACCGTCACTCCCAAGTCCTCTGTG